AAGAAGTATTAATTAAATCCTTAAAATCATTTCCTAAATAGGGAATCATCCACAAAACTATAATATTACCAACATTTATACTAAAATATATTCCATTAACAGACATGAATCCCTTATCTAATATTTTATTTGATATAATGAATTCTTCAAAGGTTTTTAAAGTCTCACTAACACTTTCTAATTCAAATGTATTCGCAATATATAAATTTTTAATTGAATTTCCTAAATCGGCAACAAAATCACCAATCCCAGAATATTTAGACTTAACTATTGATACATAACCTAAATCAACATTCTTAATTTTGTTAAATTTCTTAACAAGTCCTTTACTTTCAAAATCAATTCTTTTCTTATCTTTCCTTTTATTAATTTTAAGTACATCATATGCTTCTGAATAATACATTCTCTTAATATCATCAATAACAAAGTACCATTTATCATCATTTCCAATAGTATTTTTCTTTTTAGCAATCACTGGATATACAGAACATAAAACACACAGTTTATCAAATACAAACTCTGTTGCTCTCAGTTCAGAAATAGCATTCTTTTTTGTAATAAATTTAATTTTTGGTGCACTTGATGGATTTAGATTGATCATTCTTTTTTTAATAAAAATTTTTTAAAATAAATTTTCATTTAAATTATTAATTTTATTAAACTTATTAATTAATTGTTAGTTTATTTTTAATTAAATAAATGATTTGTAATTGAAATGATTTGTATTTGTTTTTATTGTAAAAAAGGTATAAATAGAAACAATTATGAAAATCCATGACTTTTGAAAAACACGAAGATGAAAATTCTTTGCCTAGAACTACAGTAGAGAAAATAGCTCAGGAAACATTACCAACAAAGTGTGCTATACAGAAGGAAGCTAAAGTTTTGTTAAAAGATGCAAGTACAACATTTTTAATGAACTTAACACTAGAAGCATTCAAAATACAAGAAAAAGATAAGAAAAAGACACTTTCAGCAGATCATATATGCCAAGCTTTGAGTAAAATAAACTTTGGTGAGTATGAAAGTGAATGTAGACAGTCATTAGAGGATTATATGGAATATTCTAAACTCAAGCCATCAAAACAAAACAAATTAAAAGATAGTGGATTATCATTAGATGTATTACATGAGCAACAGTTAAAATTATTTGAAAAGGCAAAAGTGGAGACTAAAGATGGATTTAATCCTAATGATCAAGACTTTGATAGAGAAGATATAAAAATTGATAATGTAGAGGAAATTATAGAAAATTCTAAAACTGATCTAAAAGACAATCGGTTATCTTCAAATGAAAAAGAATTAGAATTATTTGAAAAATCAAAAGTAGAAACCAATAATGAATTTGATTCTATTGATAAAGATGTTGGAATTTGTATTAATGATATGAAAGATGTAAATAAAGATAAATAAATTCTATTAAAAAATTTTTATTAAATTGATTAAAAATTTTTTTAAACTTTATTTATTA